ATATTCTATAATATAATGCATAATGTTGCTAACACTGAAACTTATTTATCTGAAATTTATTAATTTAGTTTATTGTGTTGTTTAACAACATTTAATCCTTAAGCCTTGGGACCACAAATGACAAATTTCATTGAGCACAGAGCCTGAGATGAAAAATAACACACAACAGTCTTGAAGTGTAGCTACTGTTCCTCCCACACTGAAAATAACCTTCATCTGACCTTCGTCTGAGTGCTTGCTGTGGTGGAGACCTGTGGTCAGAATGACTGAAAAGTCAAGTCACTACTCAGTGACATTATCATTTCTTAATAATGGGAGGGGAGTTCACGCTCGACTGTGCAGCTAAATGTTCTTAAAGCACACACACACACACACACACACACACACACACTAGTAGATAGCAGGTAACCGAGTGGTCATTTTTATTGTATAAAAATACAGTACAGATTTATGACAGAGAAACTTATTTTTTTAGTTTCTTATGCAAGGCTTTCACACTCATCCCCACTCACACCTGTTTGTGTGCCAACAAGTCATCTAACCAATGAGGCTATTGTCCCTATCCTTCACAAACAAGCACATGTTGTTGGGGGGGGGAAAAGATGCAGATATTTTTGTGTTGTCAGCTTTATATGGTTCACTGGTTATTGAAAGGGGTGCTGTAATTATTAGTAAGAGATAATGTAAAGATAAAGTACACGTTTTTACTCTGCCTCTTAATGTTGTTATGTGATATCAGTTTAAAATACTTTTTAAAGCTGACAAGAAGTGTGTGTAGAGAGCTTGAACGCTCCACTCGGCAGAGCAATTGAGTTTGGCACATCAGTACATTCAAATCATGTCTCTGTTTCCGAGTGTCGATGACAGGACAGGTTAAAAAACAAAAAATAAACATATACACAATAAGTACATAAATAACAAAAACATCAATAAAATAAAAAGTAGTGATGTGCGGATAGATCCTGAAATATCGATTCCTCCGATACCAATCATTTATGTACCCGAATCGATTCTCATATTAAAATATCGATATTTTAGTAATTTAGAGTAAATTTGTAGTTTATCATTAACAGGGACACAGTGGAAAGAAACTATAACATTCGGATTGTCTACATTCAGAGGAACTACTTCCTCTTACGCCTTTTATAGTCATGTGCGAAATATGGCTGTATAAATGTCTCGCAGCCCCTTGGGGTGCGCACTCACAACAATGACTAAGCGTAATTGTGCGGACGTATTTTACCTCCACAAACAGCTGAGACGTGGTTTGCAATACATGTGGCAAAAAAAGTGCTCCAAGAGTGAGGTGTTGTGGCCATACTAGGGAGACATTCAAAGGGGCTGCTGGGGGGGTTATAAATACATTTTACAGTGTTTATTTAGCGGATACAATACGTTAAATGTCACCGCCGGCCCGGAAACAGCGGGGGTGTCCAAATTCAGAGGCTGCTTCCACCTGAGGACCCGGCCTACGTCACGAGCTCCCTCTGTGGAGTGAAACTCTGCCGTCTGCTCCTTGCTATCTAATATATCACCGGGCACTGACGTAAACTCTTCTGTTTAATTATTTTCTGTTTGACGTTTATTCAGCTGTGTGAAAACCCCGGAG